GCTGGCCATAACCTTTAGACTAACCAGATCAAACAAACCACAACTAGATCCGAATAGAACGAATAATGAGTTTATAAATTAACGAGCATCAATAAAATCAGATACAAATAGGTTCATACTTATGGTCTAGACAACAAACCAACCAAGTCTAAAGGCAACACAAGTTGGTCATAACCTTTAGACTAACCAGATCAAACAAACCACAACTAGAAACAAAAACAACAAACAACAAACACCAAACACCAAACCTCAAAGCCATACATATTGACAAGACAAAAAAAAAAAAAAAAAAAAAAAAAAAAAAAAAAAAAAAAAAAAAAAAAAAAAAAGAGTATAGAAGAAACCAAAGCCACTGAACCAAGGACCTAACAATCAACAATCTTCATGGATGAACTTTAGATTTCTGAGTAGCATTGTATTTTTGCCAGTCATGAAGAATAACTTGAATGATTGAGTGTTCTAACATTTTAAGTTTTTGAAACTTCGAAAGGTTTCTAGACTTCCATAACTGCCAAAGGATGCATGTGATTAATTGGATTCTCGCTTCTGAAATTTCTCTCTTGTAGCGCCCTAATGCAAGTGTGAGCGTCCTGGCCTGGTTTAGGATGGATCGAACCTCGCCTTCGCCTGTAGAACGCCGGAAACCTGCAAATAACTCTCACACCGGGGGTTGTATTCGGTGAAGAGCCTCCGATGCTTAAGTCAGTATGTGTATGAGTATATTGGAGTTGAATAATGGAAAAATCGTGTTGAGTAAAAAAGGCTCACCCCCTTTATATAGGAGTGAAATACTTGACCTAAGGCTGCCCGGATTAGGTGAGCTGGCTGCCCAAGCTGCCCGTCCGTACTCTGACACACCGCGCGCAGGGGCGTAGCCAGGATTCAAAGTTTACCTGGGCTATAATTATTTAAGAAAATATGAAATATTACAAATAGACATGTTCAAGGTTTGTAAACTAACAATTGGCGGTTCGAACTGTCAATCAATGGTTCTGTTAACCATCGATTGTGATTCCTATTACAATTTGGCAGTTCGATTAGGGATTGCAAAATGTCGGAACTGTAAACGAAGGTTTGGTTATGAAATAGAAAAAGAAAATAATAGTTTTTTTAATATTTTGGGAGGGGAACCCAAAAAAAGGCAGTTAATGATTTCACAAAATTCAGAAAAATAAAATGGTGGAAAACTGTCTAAACCACGTTCCTTTGTAAAAGCGACGCTTTTTTGAAAATCGGTAGTTTCTAACGATTTTTCTAATTTTTTGCATTAAAAATAATTAAAAACTGACTGTTCGACCGAAAACCAGCGGTCCAAACCGGACCGGAATAGTAACCGTCAGTGTAACAACTGACTACGAAGTGCCAATATTGGTAATTGTTACTGTTTTGGATTTTTGGCCAACCAAAGTCGGTTACAAATCAGTTATTTCATAATCGAGAACGTGTCTAATTGCAAATAAGGCAATATTTTCCCTACATATTTATCATTAACATTAAGATTTCATCAATTTAAATCCAACAAATGGCATTGATATTTGGATGGTTGCAAGGGAATTACAAAACTAAAAACAAAATAAGAAGAAGAAAAATATCGTATTCTACTCGTAAGAAAATATATCTTCCACCATATAAATAATAAAATAAAAATATATTTACTTACGGATCATAACCAAAATCTTAAATATCTATCTTACTCTTAATTATTTTTTTAAAGCAAAATTTTAGCTTAATATATAATAATAATCGAGATATACCTTCTAAATATATCCCTTTATATTAATAATTACCAATAGTAAGAAATTAGGTGAAAGAGAAATTGACTTGGGCAAAGCATGTATTATTAGAAACGGGGGAAGAGAGTGCGGTCCCACCAGATGAAGGCGCACCATAAGAGGGTGAGCCTAGATGCACCTTAGTGAGGTTCCATCCCAAAACCAATTGGTGATGGGAGGAGTAGCCCACTAAGCTTATATACTAGACTCATTTTCCCTGTAGAATCAATGTGGGACACTCACAAGTGATATTCCAACATGTATGTATAATTGGTTGATAGAATTATTTATTTGGTTAAATTATTGGCAGGCTAACTACAAAACAAAATAAGATTTGTATATATAATGTTCGTTTTGCGTGAAAGTCAGCCCGGGCTATAGCCCGGGGAACCGTATAAGTGCCTCCGCCCCTGACCGCGCGCATGTCAGAGGTGGCACGGGACGTTGGGAGCTGTCAGAGGTGGTTGTCGCTATCAACCAATGTGTTCTCGACACGTGTCCTTATGCACATGGAGTGAATATTCTTCTGAAATTCTGTTAGAGGCTCTTACACGCGCCTGTGACTAGGCTGATTTATAGAGTGCTAAGTCCAGGGAGTGGTCGACCTGTTGAGGTCGACTAAACTGCTCGATCATTTTCCTGGTCAAATGATGGATTGGTCGACTGCTTAACTGGTCGACTAGTTGGCTGGTCGATTTTCCCGCCACTCGGCTTGGTTTCTTCACGGTATGGCCTCTTCGACCGGTTCAGCAGACCGGTTTAGCCTTGTGGGTATAATATCCTATATCATCTAGTCCCCCCCACTCTGGTCGAGTCTGGATGACTTGATCTAAGAGTGAATTTGTGCTCGTCGCTTTCCTAGATAGCATGATGTCAGATATCGACCATCTGATGAGTTTCCCGCTCACTTTTTCAATTAATTCTTCTTTAATTGCCAGCAATAAAGTTGCCTGCCACACGTCCTTTCTGCCGCACATGTGTTGGGTTCTGTGAGGAACGTCAAACAACATGCACAATATTGAACTTATCGAAATAAATCCTAACGCAACGGAATCTATAGTTAGGATATGGATGTTTACCTTTTAAAATTTTTGCCGACTCTGAGACGATGTAGAGTACCGTTGATGAAGTTCGTCTGAACACCACAATCTAATGGGCGGATAGATTTGGCCTTCAATCGATTCTAATCGATAGGTTCCACAAAAGTTGATCACACGGCACGCGGGTCTCGGACGACGGTGTGCAGCGGGCAGCTCC